GTAGAGGATGGCCCAAGTCCTTGGGCCCTGCACCCACGTGGGAGACCCAGAAGCAGCTCCTGGCTCCTGGCTTTGGATCGGCGCAGCTCCAGCTGTTGCAGCCAATTGGGGAGTGAACCAGCAGATGGAAGACCTCTCTGCCGCTGCCTCTCTGTAACTTTCAAATAAATAAATCTTAATAAATAAATAAAAATTAGAAAACCACGCTACGGGGGAAACGTGGGAGTAGTGAGGCCGTGGACCCTCGGTACCCGCTGTGGCGGTTTATGCGGGCAGCAAGCTACACCACTCTGCCGTGTGCCTGAATTAAGTCACATGACGGCGACCAGGGGCTGCTGCAGACTGGAACCCTCGGCACTGCGGGGCTGGTGGCGGCGGCCAGGCAGGCAGTAATTAGACATCCCCGCCCCCGCCCAGCCTGGCGAGCAGGTGCAGCAGCAGATCTGAACAGCTGTGTGTGCTTCAGCCCTCGCACGGGCATGCGCACGTTCACATACACAAGAACCTCTCCCTGGCACGTCCACCTGCTGGTCGACACAGGAGGGACTCAGGCTTAGGGAACCAAACACCCAGGTGAGACGGAGCGATCAGAGCGGCACGTGGAAAGGGACCCAGCAGGGGCCAGCGGGGTGGCGCTGGGGCTTCCTGACGTTTCTCGCTCACCCTCCCCTCCCCTGCCCTTCTGTACCATTTCTTTCGAGGATCGAGGGTGCTTCTGGGCCTCTGGCCTGTTCCAGGCTCCACTCATGGTAGCAAAACCACAAGATCCAGTGGTTCCGTCCGCCAGGCCTGCGTCTCGGCTTGGACCCCGTTTCCAGCCAACGGCTGCTGGTCAAGCAGGCGAGGGCCGCAGCCAGCCAGGCCCGCAGGGCTGTAGGGGCTGCCCGTTCGCAAGAGCCTGGGAGCTGAGACTCCATCTCCAGTGAACGGCCCTCCCCATAGAAACTCTGGGAGACGGGGCTGGGGGTGGGGGTGGGGCTTCTGTCTCCAGCCCCTCCGAGGATCTGGTCGCCCCAGCCCAACCCCGTGACCCCCCAGCAGACAGGAGACAGGGCAGGAAGAACTCAATGCTCAAGCTGGTGTGCACGGCCTCCCGAGGGTCAAAGCCGGGCAGGGATTCTGAGCCATTTGGGCGAGCAGCCCCCTAGGCCGCCCCTCCCTCGCAAAGCGGCCTGCAGGAGGGCCCGCTCACGGCACACCAGTCACGCCAGTTCAAGTGACCGACCACAATTCCCTGATCCGAAAGCCGCCCCATGCAGGGGACGGCACCTGCCAACCTGGCAGGCGGACCCCAGGGCCACCGTTCAGGAAACCACTTTGCTCGGGGTCGCTTCACAGGCCCAGGTGTTCTGCGCAGAACGGGAAAGCCCCCCACCCTGAGCAGGGCGGAACCGCCGAGGCCGCTCCAGGTCCCCGGATCTGCACAAGGACCGACACCAGAGCTTGTTCCCGAGTCCTCTCTGGGGAAGACCCGAGTCCCTGGCACAGGCCGCCCCTTCCCGGTCAGCGCACACGGACTCAGCCCTCTCGATGTCCCCAGCTCCCACGAGAACCCTGAAGAGGACGAAGGGGGTGGGCAACTCACAGCCAACGCCCGTTCTCCCCATTTCTCAAGGACAGAACCCTAATGGCATCTGGGATGGCAAAACACTCAACTGAACCCTAAAATGTCCGGTCTTGTCAGTAACTAGTTCAGTAACCACTCTGGTCAGTAAAACTGGGTAGGACCCCAAACAAGCCACTCAGAGAGCTTGGAATATGGGCAAGATGGCTGCTGCTGAGGCAGCCACCTTTGGCTCTGACCTTGACAATGGAAGCCATGGTCAGGCAGTGGAACAGGAAGCAGTAGGTTCCTTGGAGCCTTGTACTGAGGACCTCAGTTTCCACCTGAGGTACTGACCACCTCCAAGTCACCTGCGTCACATGCAAGCAAACCCAGCCTGAACCACTGACTCATCCGGGACCATTTCTCATGCTGGAGGAGGAACGCAGAGAAAGCAGCCAAGGGAAACCACACCGCTCTCACGCTGGGAGGACAAGAGAGCACCCCGAGAAGTGATGTCACTGCTTCCTGAGACCAGCGATTCCGCGTTCCGCCCACGACCTCATCACTCTGCCAGCAATGGCAGCGTTTAGGCCACAGAGCAGCTGCTGGGGAGAAAGCCCACTTCCCTCCCTCCCGCCCAACACGGACGTGCTGCGTCCTCCCACATGGGGCACCGTGGCGTAAACAGCCACTGCTTCCGCTGCAATATCCCAGCGCTCAATCCCTGCAGGGAACCTCCCTCCTGCAGGTCCTCAGGCCCCAGTGCTCAGGGACTGGTGACACGAGTCGAGTGAGCATCACACACCTGGTGGCTCCAAGTCCCAGCAGGCACTGCAACTCCCTCACCAGGAACTGACCCAACAGGCGGGGGGCTTTTGTTCTAAGAGACCCATCCACTTCAAGAACCACCTGCATGTGGAACACGCTCTATTGTGCCTCGTTCTACCCCATTCATACACTGGACGCACGGTAAACAAATATGTTCACTGTGGGCCCAGCACTGTGGCATGGCGGGTCAAGCCAGCATCTGCACTGCCGGCATCCCGTAACGGGCAGCAGTTCATGTCCCGGCTGCTCCCCTTCTGATCCAGCTCCCTGCTAGTGGCCTGGGAGAGCAGAAGATGGCGCAAGTGTCTGGGTCCCCACCACCCACATGGGAGATCTGGAAAATAAGTAAGTACATCTTTTATATATATGTGTGTGTGTGTGTGTGTGTGCGCACATGTATACATATATATATTCAGGGCTGGTGCTGTGGCGTACCAGGTAAAGCCGCCACTTGCAGTACTGGCATCCCATATGGGCGCCAGTTCAGGTCCTGGCTAATCCACTTCCAATCCAGCTCCCTGCCAATGTGCCTGGGATAGCAGTAGAAGACGGCCCAAGTGCTTGGGCCCTTGCACCCGTGTGGGAGACCCAGAAGAAGCTCCTGGCTTTGGATGGACACAGTTCCAGCTGTTGAGCCATTTGGGGAGTGAACCAGCAGATGGAAGACCTCGCTCTCTCTGCCTCTGTAGCCCTTTCAAATAGTGAAACCTTAAAATACACACACACACACACACACACACACACACGTTCATTTCAAAGGACCACTTCTGTTCAATCAGTCACACACAGACCATTTATTAATAATTCAGACAAGGGCGGCACGCGTAAAATTACCAATTTTGTCACCAGGTCCATTTTTTAAAAATTTTATTTATTTAGATAAAGTCAAAAGTATCATCATCCACCTAGAAATAGAAAAACCAAAGAAGGGACTGGCATTGTGGTGTGACAGGATAAGCCACCTCCTGCAACACAGGTGTCCCAGTGCTGCGGCCCCGGCACCCACACAGGAGACTGGATGGAGCTCCCGGCGCCTGTCTCCGGCCTGGCCCGGCCCCGGCCACAGCGGCCATGTGGGGAGGGAACCAGCGGATGGACGGGCTCTTACCCCTATCTCCCCCTCTCTCACTTTACCTCTATCTTTCAAATGGTGACTAAATTTATAAAACAAACAAACAAACAAAAAAAAAAACGAGGGCTCAAAGTATGGAGCCAATGTAAACAAAAAACCTTGATGTGTATCAACAAACTCCTTTTCTGTAAACCGTTCCCCAGAATGACCCCAACAATACCTCCCATCCCACCAACGGGGCCTTTCCAGTGTGCCCTGCCTCGCGGGGAGGAACCGATCGGCTTCCCATGAGAAGCCAACCCCATCTAAGTCGAACTACGTGGCACTGCCATGCTCGACAGCACGGATGCCGCTGCTCCAGCCACCAGCCAGCTGCAGGAGAGCCATCACACAGCCGCCTGCTACCCCAGCCTCCCCAAGGACAAAGCCTCAGACCTGACCAGAGACCAGACCACATGGAAGAGCGGGGCCCTCTCGGTGACCTGTCTCCCGGGGAGGTTCCACGTTCCAAGTGCCTTCTCTGGGATGTGTTTTTAAATCTCTGCATGTAAAAAGTGGAAAGCAAATGGTGTAAAGAAACACAGTAGGGGGGCTGGTGCTGTGGCGCAGCAGGTAAAGCCGCCGCCTGCAGTGCCAGCATCCCATATGGCACTGGATCAGGTCCCAGCTGCTCCTCTTCAATTCCGCTCTCTGCTGTGTCCTGGGAAAGCAGAGGACGGCCCAAGTCCTTGGGCCCCTGCACCCGCATGGGAACCCGGAAGAAGCTCCTAGCTTCTGGCTTCGGATCAGTGCAGCCAATTGGCGAGTGAACCAGTGGATGGAAGATTTCTCTCTCTCTCTGCCTCTCCTTCTCTGTGTAACCCTTTCAAATAAATAAATCTTAAAACAAACAAACAAACAAAAAACCAGTAGGCCCTCCGTATCCATGGGTTCCATGAGCCAGAGATCAAAAGTATTTCATGGAGAACAACTGTTCTGCACCAAGCATGGCATTTGTCACCATCATGCCCTGAACAACGCAGAACCACACATGTTCAGAGCGTTTACACTGTTCCAGAGGGGAGGGCAGGCACAGAGTCTATGCAAACACCATGCCATTTTACACAAAGGACTGGAGTGCGAAGGACTCTGGGGGATGACCAGGGCGCCTCTGCAGGAGCTAAGGAGCCAGGTTCAGAGGAGAGGGTGGTGGCGGACGCAGGTGAGCGCGCGCTTGAGAACACGGACGGCGGCCCTGCAAGCGGTGTTCCCGGGGAAGAGCGCTTCCTTGCACTAAGTGGGGATTCCTCAGTCAGAAGCCAGTCTTCTGGGTAAGCAAATGGAAGGTTCCACAACGATAATGACTCCGTTCCCCTAACCTGCCCCCTCCACTCTCCATGTTTTTTAATTTATTTTTATTTTTCCTGAACACACACAGTGGAGTCCGGTTCAGAAGCTGTGGGGCAGGCTCCGGGGGTGGGGTGGGGTGGGAGGTGTCTGTGGTGTGAGCAGAAACCGACGCCCAGGTCAGCAGAAAGGGACAGTGAAGGGAGGAAGCCAGCGGGTCGGACTTACCCATGTTTACCTTGACCTCCACGCTCTCGAACACAAGCAGCCAGTGTCCCGCAGCCTGGCAGGAGAAGCGGTGGCCGCCTCCACGTCTTGGCGCTGGGGGCCAGGAGCAGGGCCTTGGCAGAGGCGAGGCCAGAGGCGCGCGCGGACACAACACCACCAGGTTTTATTGAAGTTCTCTTTTATTTCCTCCACACTGGCGAAAGTTCTGAGGGAGCTTAAAGTTCTGTAAACATTGTAACTATCCCTCGTCCCCACCCCCCCTTTGAATTTACAAAGCAAGGGAGAACAGGAGTCCCAGTTTTTTAATGGTTCCTCATCTCCTCATGCTATTTGATCCAAAAACTATATACAAGTTCGTAGCAGTCTCTGTATAGTTATTGTACACGTTTGGGGGAGGGGGGAGGGAGGCAGGAAGGGTTGGGAGAATGGCGATCCAAAACAACAGAAGCAGAAACGGAACACAGCTCCCGAGACCAGACTGCTCTCAGGGACTCCCGCCTCCTCCCGGCGATGCAGACAGACAGACAGGTGCTCCGGCCAGGAGCTGCGCACCGCGGCTCCCACCACGCGCCCGCCGCAGCGTGCCAGCGACCCAGGCGATGATCTGGGGGGTCTGGTGGCGGCAGGAAGAGGACTGGTTTACATGGAGCCTGAGCACACAGCTGCCCGGAGTGCAAGGCACGAGCAGGCCCTGAGCAGAAGCAGAGCCAGGCTCTGGCCCCCTCGCGCCCGTCCCCTCCAGCCCCTGCGTCCTCGCGGACAGCGGCTTCCACGGATGAAGTCCTGAAAGGCAGTCAAGTCTGCACGTTCTTTCCAGAAAAGGCAAGCAACTTGCCATCCCAGAATCTTTTTTAAAAAGAACACTTTTGGGGCCACAGCAAGACACACACGCAAATACTCTGAGGAACCAGATGAAATTCTGGGCTTTTATCGGAAGCAAAAGTTTATCCCTATCCAAAATGAAATTATACAAATTCATACATATGGTAAAGATCCTAGCTGCCTCTTAAACGAGACAAATTTTCAGCAGAAGGGCCCAAAACAAACTGGTCCTAGTCCTCTGAAGTAAAAATATTTATGGGAAAAATCAGTTTTTGTAAGAAAGAAAAATTAAGAGTAAGTCCCTCTCCCAGGCCATAGGGTTTCCTTTGTCCAATCAGGCTGGAGAAAGCCGGGAGACGTGAGCTTGCCTGGAAGTCGCTAGCTAGTGAGGAGAACAGGTCCTTTCTCCAAAAAGATGCTGAGGAAGAGCGGGCGAGGGCGTGCACCGTCCAGCCAGTCCCATCTCAGCTCCACCCGCTCGGCCCGGCGGCCACCCTCACACGGGGGAGCTCTGACCGTCTCTGGCGGACATCCGAGCCACAGTCCGCAGGGCGCTCGGGCTGGCCAGGGTCTGTTAACCATTAGCTCTCTTCACAACTGCACCAGGTAGACCTCGTGCCCTTATCGGGGAAATGAAGAGAAAGAAAACAAAACAGAACAACCAAAAACAGAACAGGAGGGAAAAGTGACAGAAGCAAGCTGCTCCTGGCAGAGCCCAGGACCCCCTCTGGGAGACAGCAGATGGAAGCACCGCCCACAATCAGCCTGGCTGGGGAGGAACCCCACCTGCCACCCCGAGACAAAGGGACAGTCCACGCAGCGAGTCTCGGATGCTCACCGACACACATGGTTTAAAGAATCTTGGACACAAAGGGCTGGGAGAAAACGCCTGAGAGGACGGGTTCTGTGATTTGTTGCAGAGATAAAGAGCAGATGGTGAGTGACTGTTGTGTCCCAAGGTGGAGAATCCACAGGCAGCAGCAGGAGAGGGAGGGCCAGGCTACCACGGACGCTCAGTAGTCGTCCAAAGTCTCGATTTCACCCATATTGAGTCGCTCCGATGAGGCGTTGACTGAAAACCCTGCAGAAGAACACAAGCTATCAGTGACCACACTCAGGCAACCGAGTGGCGCAAATTCCAGGTAGTGGGCTAGAATTCAAGTCTCTTGTTCCTGAGCATACCACAGGGGCAACCCAATCAGAAAGCATCTGTTCTTCCCTGCTTTGTTTCTTGGAATTCTCTTAAAAAATTTAATCAAGGGCCTGCATGGTGGTGCAGCGGGTTAATGCCCTGCCTGAAGCACTGGCATCCCATATGGGCGCCAGTTCTAGTCCCGGCTGCTCCTCTTCCGATTCAGCACTCTGCTGTGGCCTGGGAAAGCAGAAGAAGATGGCCCAAGTCCTTGGGCCTCTGCACCTGCGTGAGACCCGTGGGAAGCTCCTGGCTCCTGGCTTCAGATCGGTGCAGCTCCGGCCGTTGTGGCCAATAGAGGAGTGAACCTTCAGATGGAAGACCTCTCTCTCTCTCTCTCTCTCTCTCCCTCTCCCTCTCTGCCTCTCCTCTCTCTGTGTGACTCTGACTTTCAAATAAGTAAATAAATCTTTGAAAAAAAATTTAACCGAGGAGAAAAAGCCAAAACCAAATGGCATCACCCTTTAAAAAGAATAGCACACAGCTGCCCTGGAGGAGCCTGTGTGCTGAGGACAGGCCTTGCTGGCTGGCCCACGACAAGTTCACTTAGAAAGGCACTTGCATAGAAGTTGAGGTGGGCACGCATACACTAAGTACTCTGTAATTACTAATCTGAGCAGCACTAAAACTCCCTGACTCACTTCAATGGGAATATTTTTCCCTTTAAACTTTGTGAAACTCAGCCAGCACAAGCGCTTTCTCCTGGACAACAGACAGAATAGAAAGCCTACTTTACTGAACTCACTCTACCCTTAGCAGGCCTGCGAGGGAAAGGCTTTTAGTCGTGATATCTGATCCACCAAAACGGAGCCAGCAAGCCGAGAAGGCAGCACGCAGTACTGACACCGCCGACAACGGTCGCAGGCCGCTCTACAATAAACTCCACAACCAGAGGCTGACGCAAAGCTGAAGGCCCAGGGCCGCCTGGGAGTGAGTGCCCGGGAAGCGTTCCAGGTCACCTCCCCAGAACGAATGCCCCCGGTTTCAGCTGTGGTTCAAATACCAGAGGCAAAGCGGCCCTGTTATTCCTTGCAGGCTTCTCTGCGCCACTTTTTTGTTCTTTAATTTTACTCATTTGAAATGTACCAGTAATAAACAAATATGTCTTACATAATGAAGAACAGCCTACCAATTGACTCAAAAATATCATGACCTCAAACAAATAAACCTCCCTGTTTACTAAGCAAGGAGGCCATGGTACAGGACGCTTGTGAGGCCTCGCACAGAGCAAGGCTACCGTCCCAAACCCTGTCCCAAGTTCTGCCCCTACAACTCTGTTTCCATTACCCACAAGACTCCTTTTTTCCCTTGAAAATAATGAAAGGCTCTGTGTTCCTATTTTTAAAGTAACAGATTAATTGGTGAGCACAAGAACCTAAAGGCCAAACAGTCTATGAAATGAACTATAACTCTTGCTACTTGGCCTTCACGTATATCTCAAGAAGAGGAAAAACAGGAATGAGCTACATGCAACAGCAAGTAGGAATGTCACTGAAAATCCAGCTACGGGGCGCGAGTCTGGCGCAGTCAGGACACTGCCTGGGATGCCGGCACCCGTATCACAGCGTCTGGGTCTGGGTCTGGGTCCAGGCTCCACTTCTGTTCCAGTGTCCTGCTAATGCGCACCCTGGAGGCAGCAGGTCATGGTTCAAGTACCTGGGGCCTTGTCACTCACGTGGGAGCCCCAGACTGAGTTCCTGGCTCCTGACTTTGGCCTGGCCAAGCTCTAGCTGTTGCAGGCATTTGGGGAGTGAACTAGAAGACGGAAGATCTCTGTCTCTGTCTCTCTTTCAATTAAAATGGAGAAACAACTTTTTTTTTTTTCTACAGGCAGAGTGGACAGTGAAAGAGAGACAGAGAGAAAGGTCTTCCTTGTTGCCGTTGGTTCACCCTCCAATGGCCGCCGCGGCCAGCGCGCTGCGGCCGGCGTATTGTGCTGATCCGAAGGCAGGAGCCAGGTGCTTCTCCTGGTCTCCCATGGGGTGCAGGGCCCAAGCACTTGGGCCATCCTCCACTGCACTCCCTGGCCACAGCAGAGAGCTGGCCTGGAAGAGGGGCAACCGGGACAGAATCCGGTGCCCCGACTGGGACTAGAACCCGGTGTGCCAGCGCCACAAGGCGGAGGATTAGCCTAGTGAGCCGCGGCGCCGGCCGAGAAACAACTTTTTAAGAACAATTTCTTACAATCATACAGAGAGAGGAAGGGAGAAGTCTGAGGCCACTCTTTCCTGACAATGAACAGTTGCTTCTTTGATGCTAGAATGGGACTACCAGGCTGAGACTCTTGTGGACGTCAGGAATCAGCGGAGCGAGCACTTATGGCCCTCACGTCACAGGAGGGAATACCATCAACTCCAAAGCCACACAGATGAGGACCTCACTCGCCACGCTGGGCTCTAAAAACCACTGTCCCTGGGGCAAACCTGCTGGACTGCTTTAAGGTCTGTGAAGAGTTCCTGTAAGGCAGGGATGACTGGAGGAGACCGCACCCTGTGTTATATCTATCATACACAAGTGCAGGTCACTGGTTCCCAGTGGCCGCCTAGAAGCTCTACAAACTAGAGCAAGAGGAGGGACAGTGAGACCCGAGTGAGGCCAGGGCGCCACCTGCTGGTTTGTTTTAGAAGCAAAATTCTCTTCCAATCACTGTGTGCACAGGACACTTGGACTGAAGATTTTTCTGTCTGTAAAACCATAAGGAATTTATCAGCTGAAACATAACAAGTGGAAACACGCAGGTCTAAGACAGCAACTAGAACCAGAGTGAGATTTAGCCGAGCAGGATCTTTCATAAAATGCTCCACGGCAAAAGCACACCCAAGTTATCTGTTCAGCAGCTCTGCTTCCTGTACATCTGTCATTTTTCTTTCCCCTTTAAGACCTAAGGATTCCTTACACTATCCCTATAAGACTAAGGATTCCTTACACTGTCCCTATAAGACCTAAGGATTCCTTACACTATCCCTATAAGACTAAGGATTCCTTACACTGTCCCTATAAGACTAAGGATTCCTTACACTGTCCCTATAAGACTAAGGATTCCTTACACTGTCCCTATAGGACTAAGGATTCCTTACACTGTCCCTATAAGACTAAGGATTCCTTACACCGTCCCT